TTGTCAAACCCCTTGTGTGGTGTTTTTCGCTCTTAAGCACATCTGCATTTGCTGCTAAATATTCAAAATGTTATCGATAATTTTTTTCAATCCATCGTTTTATTTTCAACTTATGTATTTTGAACTTGCAAAATCTCGGTAACGAATGGAGAGAACACGCATTGTTCGATCATAAGGATATTCATATTGATTCTTCATTAGATCCAGAAAATTATAGGAAAAAAGTTTTTGAATTAAAAGATTCTTCAGGTTCATAAAAGTTTCACAATAAAAAAATTATATCTCTCTTTTCTATCTTTTCTAATGCTACAGTAGAACGTATATTTAGTAGTTTAAAAGTGTGTAGGACTGACTTGAGGACCAGATTGAGCACTGATATAGTTGCAGCAATATTATAAACAAACCAAGGCATAAAAAACAACGGTGATACTTTGTTTGAACCACAAGAACAAATGTACCAATTGAATTGGAGAATGTAATTAATTTTTATACTAAGTACCTGTAAATAATATGCAGTACACAATACTCATATCTGTAAAAAGAAAATTTTTAGTAATTTGTTCGGATTTTGAGGATTTTTCATTTGTTTTTGAGGGAATTTTTTTTTGTGGTAACACTGTACAGTAGCATACTTTTTAATTTAATTCGAGTTTGTATTTAAATACTGCCAAAGGTTGAAATGGAAACTTTTTTGTCGTTGGGTGTATGTAATAGCTAAAATATTATTGTTAGAAAATACGCAAAAAGCAGAACACACAATCGATCACAAGAGGTCCCTGAAGTAATCACTACAACATTCACCGACTGGTTTCGCACACATGCCATAATTTAGTGCTTATCTAGTGCCAATTTATGCCGCTAAAAAAAATTTAGTGCTCTGTAAATTTTGGTTAAAACATGTGGTAGCCATCTCTTCAGCTGAAGTAAGCACTACACTATCAATATCTCTGGAACCTAAAAGCGCATATACTTCTACCTTACGGCATAATTTAGTGCTTGTCTAGTTCCAATTTATGCCGCAAACAAATTTTTTTTCTCCTCAAATTTTGGCAAAAACATGTGGTAGCCATCTCTTCAGCTGAAGTAAGCACTACACTATCAATATCTCTGGAACCAAAAAGCGCATATACTTCTACCTTACGACATAATTTAGCGCTTATCTAGTGCCGACGATTCAACAAAAATTGTCTCTAAAAAGGCAAAAGTTTGGGTAGAACTGGCGAATGATGTTAATAATGTCGTACGGCCGCAAACAATATATAACCTCATGTCAAGACCTGTTTCTCGCAGTCAGTTGCCTGAAAGTTATCACTGTAAAAATATTGTGTCCAAACATAATGATTTTAATAGTTCTTCAGATTCTTCAACTAATTGTGAAAAGTCCAATGTGGGATCAGTCGAAAATTTCACATTTTTTGATACTAAACGATCTTTTGAGGAGACACTTGAAGAAAAAGTGTTATTGCTAAATAAAACTAGCACTGGCAAAAGGTATCCCAGGACTTATACTGTTTTCAAATCAGGTTTTTGGCAATCATGGCTCACTGAAAATCTTGTAAAGAAGAAAATATAAATTGCGGATTTCGTTTCAGTGACGAAAAGGTTACAGAGTTAAAATTCGCGCATCCATGAAAGGTAACAATAATTTTATTTTGATTATACTTTTTATTGCAATACATATGTATTACAATTATTAATTTATTGTATTAATTACAAAATATTTTTTATGTATTTTATTTATTTATTTATTTAATTCTTACAGCTTAATTAAGCCTAGCTTAAAGTTATACATATGTATACATTAGAGTGGTTCAAAAATTTTTTTTAGGAAATTCTATTACGCTACCTCAAATTATTGTTATTTGTGATAAAAAAAGCGAAACGTGTTTTTTTATTTTGAAAAAAATAGAGGTCGCGCTGGTCGGTTTTTTTATAAAAACGTTTATGCCTTAAATTTTATTATTTTCTTGAAAATATGCTCTCGAAAAGAGACTACTAAAATTAAAACGTTGATACTAAACGATTTACGCATTATCATGGGTTGGAACTTGTTACCAGGGGGTTTTTGGGTTTGATAATTAGGAATCTGAAGTCAGTTTTTCAAAACTCAAAATGGCGGATCCAAAATGGCGAAAAATTACTGGATTTGTTCCAAACCCGGCACTCGGGAGTTTTTGGGGTCGCTGATAACGAATCTGAAGTCAATTTTTTTTTAATTCAAAATGGCGGATCCGAAATGGCGACGAACTTTTAGAAAAATTATTGGAATTGTTTGAAACTCTTAACCGCCATTTTGAATTTTGAAAATCTGACTTCAGATTCGTAATCAGCAACCCCAGAAACCCACTGGAAAAAAGTTTCAACCTTTGACAATGCTTAAAACGTTCAGTATCAACGTTTAGTTTTAGTATTTTTTAATTTGATCGCCATATTGGATCCGCCATTTTGAATTAAAAAAATTGACTTCAGATTCGCTATCAGCGACCCCAAAAACTCCCGAGCGCCGGGTTACGAACAAATCCACAAAATTTTTTTAAAAATTTGTCGCCATTTTGGATCCGCCGTTTTGAATTTTGAAAATCTCACATCAGATTCGTAAACAGCAATCCCAGAAACCCACTGGAAACAAGTTAAGCTATTGACAATGCTTAAAACGTTCAGTATCAACGTTTAATTTAAGTAGTATCTTTTTGAGAGCATATTTTCGGGAACTAGGCCCATTCTAACTGTCCAAGACAGGTATGTAACCAAGGGAATGTTCCCCAATAATACCAGAGTAATTATGTGTAAAAACCACATTTTTAGCTGCATTTTAACATGTCACGAAAATAAAACAAGTATGTTTTAGCAAAAAAAAAACCGACTTAAAAAAAAATATTTATATCTATATATTTCATGATCCAATGATCGGATCTAAACCAAATTAGTATGGGACCACCTCTGAGACACTACCATTCCGTTGCAAAAAGAATTATTGAAATCGGTTGATGGTGCAAAGTTATGCGGTAACATACATAAAAAAAAAATAAAAAAAATATTCCGACGAACTGATAACCTCCTCCTTTTTTGGAAGTAGGTTAAAAATTGAGAACATCAGCGTTTTCATAAAAAACTGACCAGCGCGACCTCTAAAAAAACTTTTTTTCAAAATAAAAAATTATGTGTCTTTTTTTTATCACAAATAACAATATTTTGATGTAGCGTTTATGAATTTGCAAAAAGAGTGTTTTTATGAACCACTCTAGTATACGTATTTAGGTATATTTAGGATCAATAATTTAAAGCCTAGACTAACTTCAAAAAATTTGCATCAAAATTTTTAATTCGAATATTTAGAAAAACCCTCCACAACATCCACACAAATTGCAAATTGTGCAAGCGGTCAACTAATTACCAACGAAATTCAAAAAGATATTGTTTGCAAATTATGTTTTTTTTATTTATTTTTAATAATTTTCATTTAAAATATGATTCAATCTATAACAGAAACCACAATAATAAAAGGTTAAAAGCAAAACGCATCGATAGAAAAAAGAATTAACTCGATTTTCGGAATTATCGAGCAATTCTACATAGGAATTGGATAGTGGCGTTTGGAGAACAAAAACCAAACTAAAATTTGTGATCCAGTGTTATTATTCTCATGTCATCGCAATAAATAAAATTATTGATTGATTGTACTTTTATAAATATACATATTTTTTTTAGGCGAATGTAAATGCGGAACCACTATCGATTTCCAAATCGATAATGAAACCTTTGAATATGAAGTATGTGAGATAGGGCTAGCCATTTCGCTAGGACTCAGAGTAGGGATGCTCATTTTTCAGCACTAAATTATGCCGTAAGGTAGAAGTATATGCGCTTTTTGGTTCCAGAGATATTGATAGTGTAGTGCTTACTTCAGCTGAAGAGATGGCTACCACATGTTTTTACCAAAATTTGCAGAAAAAAAAAATTTTTTGCGGCATAAATTGGCACTAGATAAGCACTAAATTATGTCGTAAGGTAGAAGTATATGCGCTTTTTGGTTCCAGAGATATTGATAGTGTAGTGCTTCCTTCAGCTGAAGAGATGGCTACCACAAGTTTTTACCAAAATTTGCAAAGAAAAAATTTTTTTTTGCGGCATAAATTGGCACTAGATAAGCACTAAATTATGTCGTACGGTAGAAGTGTATGCGCTTTTTGGTTCCAGAGATATTGATAGTGTAGTGTTTACTTCAGCTGAAGAGATGGCTACCACATGTTTTTACCAAAATTTACAGAGCACTAAATTTTTTTTAGCGGAATAAATTGGCACTAGATAAGCACTAAATTATGGCATGTGTGCGAAACCAGTCGGTGAATGTTGTAGTGAATACTTCAGGGACCTGATCACAAGTGCTGATTTTGACGGCGTGCCTGCAATTGCAAAATATTTTGTATATACACAGAGTGCACTTCCACTTGCAATGAAGTATTAAATAACAAAACCAAAAAACTAATTACAACACATGCCAAACTGGAAATTTGGTCAGAAATTCCCGAAATTACCCATAGTGCGCAATGACGACGATCTTCAAAGCCGATACATTAGGCACGAAAAAAATTCAAATTACCAAAAAAGAAATTTCTAAGTGTGCGAACACAAAAATAAACAATTTGACAGCTTTCAGAGCCAAATTGCAAATTAATGGTACATATTTGGGAAAGAATTTTATCTGCTGTTATTCAGTATTGTAAGCTCAAGAATTGTAAACGTAAGATTAGGATAACTAGTTATAAGTCACGAAAGTTTTAATACATAAGAAATGCAACCGTGTGAATACAAATAAAGACAGTCTGGTGAGACTTCAAATAGTAACTGCCGCCATTACTGAGAAAATATCCTACTAAAGAAGACTTGCTCTTATAGTATTAAAATCTTGGCGGTACCGTGACATTGATGTTCTGAATTAATGATTTAATTACCCCAGTATGCGTTCTAAAATTTAATAAAGAGCTTACAAAGTAACTTACCACGACTCACGTATTCGAAGTCCAATCTGCAGCCCAATTCCGTGAGAAAGTCTAAAATTGTGGATGTGCATCCAACATCTATGCTCGAGCGCACTAGTGTTGGCCGGGATCTGTCTAGTTCCGGCTGTCCAATGTATCTTAACTGAAATGGTGCATCTCTATCTAATGCCCTTCGAACGCGGAGCATTAGAGGTGCGGTTTGTGTTGGTTGTCGTAGACTCAAACATACTTCTAAATCGTGAAAGGATTCTGGCGATGCATCGACCGTATCGCATAGTCCTCTTAACCTTTGGAAAAGATAAATTGGAAAATTACTATAAAATACTTAGTAGTTAGAGGTCATTAAATTTTCCTAGGAGATACAAAATTTACGGGAATTTTAGCCTGCCAATTTTCAGTTAGTGAAAGCACGCATTGGTTAAATATACATATGAGTTCTTAGAGTGCAATGGGGTATAGTTACGGTGACCATATTTTAGAAATAAAAATATAATACATTTTTAAATTATGTTTTTATTTACTCGTAATATGTATTAAAAAAGAGTACAGACAAAAGATAAGGTTTGTCGCCACATACAGCCCATAAGGACAGACGATGCACAAAAACATGTCCAACAGCAAAATTGAGAGGGTGATTGACTTGGGACTTTCTTTCCACACCCAGCAAAGCTCCTGAAGTTCTCCCGGTTCTTTTTGCAACAAACTTCAATCTAGCTTAAATGGTCCTAGGCAAAACTCTTACATGCCTGCTTTGATAAAAACCCCCGTTGGGAGCGAAAGATGCAATTATAAATATCTAGACAATATTTCCATATAGATTTTTAGCGATAGCTTTAAGACATGCAGGCGATCGGGCACGGAAGGGAATTAATCTGTAGTCGTGCAATTCTGCCCTAAATGTCGTCAAGCAACTATATTCAAGCGAACTATATGTGGTTTGGATCTGTCTTGGAACAAGCGTATATTCGCCCAACGGGGCCAGAAGCGCCATTAGTTCTATTGGAGCGCTCCATATTCAGCAGTAAGCGCCCCCTTCCTAATTTCACACTTCATTGTATTTTAACATTGTGTGTCATTAGAAAGAAGCGCTACCTTGCTGCTCCCAAAGAAACCCTTCAACTAAAGCATTTAAAAAGCGATGCATGCAAATTTTAATTTTTATATTATATTTTTGTTTAAATAAAATAATGGCGTTTTTTGTAAACCAGTTGATGGCTTTATTAAGTGTACTCATTGTTTTTCTTTTCTATGCGGTATACATACGAAAATACATACATACATACATACATACATGTTTGCACATAAATTAACTTTTTTTCAAAAGAAAATATTTTATCAAGGCGAATTTATACAAGGTGGTGTTTTAAAATCAGCTGATTTCTTCACTTTACATGTGTTTTGTTTTTGCTTTTACTGATTTGACAGCACACCCATCAAAAGCAAAAACAAAATACATGTAAAATTTGGGGCGAATTAAGATTTGACATAACACCCACAATACAAAATACATGTGGTTGTTGTTATAATCTAAATTCGCCAGTAACACCACCTTGTATAAATTCGCCTTGTATTTTATGTTACTACTCAAAATGATATTTATTTCTGAGCATTGTTAGAAATTTAAAAATTTATTTTTTACTTTGCTTTTGTACTGCTCCGTACTTGCTCCTTTGGGGAGCAGCTAACTTTCAGTCCCGTTGGGCGGTTAAGAAACCACGCCCTCGCAGGGTTGTGCGCTGGGTTTGGGACCCGCGAAGTAAAAACCCTCTCCAGTGAAGACAAATAACCCCCCCCTTTTAATGACGAACACGGCAAATGTTTAAAGGACTACGATTTGAGGGCACGCACCTGGAATGTCCACCCCTTTAATGGGGAAGGTGCTTGTTGTTTTTTAGCGCCTACCAAACACCGCTCGGATCAGCTAAAGGGAGGCCTAGGATGTGAGCAACTTCCACTGGGTCTGTCCATAGAGACAGGGGCGTTAGCTGGCGGGGTTTTGGGGGCATGCGAAGAGGTGCCGTGAGTCATATGGCGACTCTTCGCATGCCGGACACTCATTGGGCACATCCGTGTTCACTCTGCTCAGGTACGAGTTTAGCTTGCTGTAGAAACCAGAGATAAGTGGGGCTATTGTGGTGCGAGTCTCTCGAGGCAGACAAGCTCTGTCCCGTCCCGTCATCTTGACCTCGTTGTGTAAGTGGTATGGAGACGACATCAGAAGGCATTTAGTTACGGTCCGGAGTGCCGTGTTTTGGCAAGTATGTAGCTTCGTCGACTGCGTTCTACTATTCCCTGGCGACACGCGCTGCATAGATTGTCAGGTTATTCACCGTCGCAATTGGTGAACAGAAGTTACGCAAAATTTAATTTTTACAAACGCTCGTTAGCGCCTGTCCGAGTTAAAACTTGAAAAATCGCCATTTTTATGCCTTAACAAATTTAGCTCTAAAATGTTGCCTTTTTGAGATATCTACCCACTTGATGCGGCATTTTGAAGGAAAAAGATGACAGTTTTAATGTAAGCAGAGAAAGTCGTATAACTCAATACCTCCGAATAATGGCAGCGCCTAAAACCTACGTGTTTTTACTTCTTTTTTGTGAATTCTAATCTTCTCTAGCGTTTTGACTGTTTAGAGTAAGCAGCTTATATTACCCAGGAATTAAGTGCTCGTATCATAGACGAAACACAGCTACGAGTCGGCCTGGCCAGCTCACTCCTTATAAAAAAAATTTGCATGGCATTGCGAAATTTTTAAAAATCGCATTATTCAGGTTACGGAATGGGGTGTACCACAGTATCCCCAAAAACAAAGTCCCAAAAACATTCCACATTATTTCTTAAATCGAAATTCAAAACAATTTGTATGATAAATTCACAAATATTTAATAGGTAAATGCAAATTTAAGAAAATGTAATTTATCCCAATACCTTATGAATATATTTTAAAGGAACTTACATAAACACATTGTTTTTCACATTAGCACTCAAACCAAATTTTATGATTTCACAAATATTTATACACATTAGGGTGCTTTTTTCCAGCGACTATTTTTTGACTCACCTCGAAATATTGTGGAAAATATCTAAAAACAAGTTCTCTGAAAATTTGAGCCCTTAATATTAATATTAAGTGCTCGGCCAAGGCGTACAAAGATTTCCCGTTCAAAATACACGTAAACTTTAATTTTTTTTCTTCAAAATTCTATATCTCGGATTTGCCCTAAGGCCTGATAGGCCCGGGCCTAAAACGGCAAGATATTAGGGGCGGAAAAAAACACACTGGTGTTAAAAAGACACGCACGCCCCAAAGTAAATACGTGTAAACTCAATATAACGACACCTAACGCGTAAAAACTATATGGTTTTGAAAACATCCAGGTCTAAGGAACTTTTTATTAAATTTTATTTTATTGCTAACCTGACGAAATTAAGCACGTCAGAAGCCGAAGAAAATTCCAAACATTACAAATGATTTCCCTATCGACTTAGAAGACAATTTTTCAGAAGGATGTCTCCACTTTCCTGCCCAGTGCAGTATAAAAAATGAGGATCGAAAGAGTGCTATCAGTTTGGTGGAACAGCTAAGAACAGGCCTCCAAACCATCTACCCAAATGTGGACATCGCTCTTCGTATACATATGTCATATGTATGTGTGTGTGCTCCCGCCAGCAACAGGTAGGATGCCAGTAAAAGGCAGACGGCAACGTTGATCGACTATTTTGTACGCCAAATTCGGTTAGTTTATTTGCTTACTTGTACAATATAAAATATCTGGGTGTTTTGGCTAATGTTGGAAATTCCCCTGATCCGCATTAATTTTGAGGACTACCTGCAGGACTTATTCCGGATCAACTGCAGTTAATTTTGAATTAACGAGTTGATCGAGATAAATGCTTTGATAACTTAACTGAAAGTTTCTGAGAAGATATCCATACATCTGTGAGACGTTTCAATTTTGCGATAATGGCAATGAAATTTCGTTTTGCAGATATGGGTTCTTAAAATATTTATTTAATAATTATATGTATTTTACTTAGAAATTTACCTTAATTAAAGAGGAGCGAAAAATCAATATAATATTTCATTTCCCGAAAGAGAGCGCGAAAATCTTAAAAGGCAGACGTATGTAGATTACCAAAGCAGGGTTAAGTATGTTAGGCTGCGATTAGAATTGTAATGAACCAATTGCCATTTCAAATACATTTTTACGTATTTAAGTCGAAGAACAGTCAAAAGCAATCCTATCGTTCGTATCAACGACACGGTTTAAAACAACCATGTCCAGCGCTGGCACAACTCCATAAGCAAGTGCAAAAATTTTTCCAGCGCTGGGCATGCTTGGAATAAAACGACAATAAAAAATATTTTGTTTGAAAAAAAAAGTCAACTTTTCCTTCCAGCTTTATTTTTCGTAGTTATCTTTNGAACTCCATAAGCAAGTGCAAAAATTTTTCCAGCGCTGGGCATGCTTGGAATAAAACGACAATAAAAAATATTTTGTTTGAAAAAAAAAAGTCAACTTTTCCTTCCAGCTTTATTTTTCGTAGTTATCTTTATCCTGAGAAGCTTTTTATTGCCCAAATATTTTAAATGATTCTTTAAACAAAAGGAAAAAATAGGCAGGTATGTAATCATACTCTGGACTGTTCACAAAAACAGCACAAAAAATTTAAAACATGAATATTAGCGTGTGCCGAAAATCCGCTTTTTTAGAATTTTGATTGGTAATAGCAAAAATATGGTTCATTACCAATCAAAATTCGAAAAAAAGCGGATTTTTGGCCCACGCTAATGAATATTAAAAAAATCACCAGGCGGTTTTTTGATTCACTGCATTTGTCTATGGAGTGCAATGGGGTATAGTCGTTGCGCTGGGTATGCAGTTACAGTTGCATATCTATACTCAACCCATGTGCGAGATGCGGTAACCAATCTTGTTGTTTTTTAGCGCCTACCAAACACCGCTCGGATCAGCTAAAGGGAGGCCTAGGATGTGAGCAACTTCCACTGGGTCTGTCCATAGAGACAGGGGCGTTAGCTGGCGGGGTTTTGGGGGCATGCGAAGAGGTGCCGTGAGTCATATGGCGACTCTTCGCATGCCGGACACTCATTGGGCACATCCGTGTTCACTCTGCTCAGGTACGAGTTTAGCTTGCTGTAGAAACCAGAGATAAGTGGGGCTATTGTGGTGCGAGTCTCTCGAGGCAGACAAGCTCTGTCCCGTCCCGTCATCTTGACCTCGTTGTGTAAGTGGTATGGAGACGACATCAGAAGGCATTTAGTTA